AAATACATATAATTTCTACCAAATACTAATATACCACATATACATCAAACAAACATACATTGGCATATATATATATATATATATATATATATATATATATATATATATATATATATATATATATATATATACCAAATTCATATATATTCAAACAAATACGAAATATACAATCTAATTTTCACATAATTTCACATATAAATACAAAATTCACAAAAAAATGAAATAATAGAACCTGTAGTGGCGGAAATCAACGGATATGTAGCCGGAAAAACTAATCTTCACCCGAAATTACCCTCACCGGAAAAACTGAACAACACCACCAAAATCACTGAAATTGAACAATTTATTGCAATTTAGTCATCAAAATCAGCTTTTAATAATCATCAAATGTCCCTAAAGGCTAAACTACAAGTGGAAGCTATACAACTAATTGCAATTCAATAACCACAAACAAGAAATTGAATAACTTGCTTCTATACCAAAGCAACACCACCAAAAACAAGAATATGAAAAGTTTATTACTATTCAATCACTAGATAAAGCTACAAAATCGAAATTAACATACAAAATAAAAATGAAATTACCAAATCAACTTACCTTTCTTCAAGAAATGGAGGTAGAAATTGGTCTCAAAAGCTATAACCACACCTAGAGATATTTGTTTGGAACAATGTGGGGAGAAATTTGCTTGGAAGAAGCAAATTGAAGAGAAAATTGGAGGAATGGTAAAGGAGAATGAAGAAATGAAGAAGCAAACAGAAAGGTGAATGAAGAAATGAGGGTTTCTGTGTGCGTTTTTTTTTTATCTGCGAGAGGCATAGCGGCGACACCTTTAGCGGCGACACCAAACCCTTTACCGGCGATAATTAGTAATAGCGGCGACAAACTGGAGGGAAGGGTACCGCATCATTTTTATTTAACTATTAGCGGCGACATTTTTTTTTACCTTTAAAGTTAGACAAGATAAGATACCCCACCCGTTGGATTGGATATCACATCGAACGGTTGAGATGCAACAGAGGGGGAAAGTGCGGATTCGTGTGGCAACCCTTTAGCGGCGACACTATTATCGGCGACAAGGGGCTTTACCGGCGACTTTTGATAAAGTCGCCGGTAAAGCCCTTTATCGCCGGTAATAGTGTGGCCGCTAAAGAGTATATTTCTTGTAGTGTAGTTCCCGATCCAATCGGTTTTTAAAACATGCTTCCAACCCATGGGCCAAAATTAGGGAAAAATCGTATCCCAAAAAGAGGAAATCACAGTTTGAGGGTATGAAATCACAATTGTGGTTAATAATCTGTTATGTCAGTGGTTAGTTTTAGAAAAAAAAAAAACTATTTTTTTCTATTTTAAAAAAAATAATTCAGAGATTTTGCTATATTTGTAATTTTCTCAAGAAAATTACATAGTGTTAACTTATAAACAATGATTCATATATCAATTAATCATCATGATCGAAAAAAAAAAAAACAATAGATAAGTGATTTCGAAATTAATTAATCATAACGTTAAATTATAATATTAAATCAAAATCATGTTTAGTTTTATTTAAACGCAAATCGTGGTTAGATGTTATTAAATGATATGATTTTGATAGATGTATATTTGATAATATGGTTCAAAATAATTGCAAATTTATATATTGTCTTAGTGTGAGTTATTATATTATAGTTAATGTCCTATTATATATATATATATATATATATATATATATATATATATATATATATATATATATATATATATATATTATGTGATTCACCTAATTAAGTACATATTTAGAAGACAAGTAGGAATTGTTGTTGAAATTGTTAATACAAGGAAATTTGTTCTAGTAAAAGGGTACCATAAGTACATATTTGGAAGCCAAGTAGGAATTGTTGTTGAAATTGTTAATACAAGGAAATCAGTTCTAGTAAAGTGATTTCGAAATTAATAATCATTACGTTAAATTAATACTAAATCATAACGTTAAATTATAATATTAAATCAAAATCATGTTTAGTTTTATTTAAACGCAAATTGTGGTTAGATGTTATTAAATGATATGAAAATAATTGCAAATTTATATATTGACTTAGTGTGAGTTATTATATTATAGTTAATGTCCTATTATATATATATATATATATATAATATTATATATATATATATATATATATATATATATATATATATATATATATATATATATATATATATATTATGTGATTCACCTAATTAAGTACATATTTTGAAGATAAGTAGGAATTGTTGTTGAAATTGTTAATACAAGGAAATTAGTTCTAGTAAAGTGATTTCAAAATTAATCGATCATAACGTTAAATTAATATTAAATCATAACGTTAAATTATAATATTAAATCAATCATAATGTTAAATTATAATATTAAATCAAAATCATGTTTAGTTTTATTTAAATGTAAATTGTGGTTAGATGTTATTAAATGATATGATTTTGATAGATGTATATTTCATAATATGGTTCAAAATAATTGCAAATTTATATATTGACTTAGTGTGAGTTATTATATTATAGTTAATGTCCTATTTTATATATATATATATATATATATATATATATATATATAATATATATATATATATATATATATATATATATATATATATGTATATGTATATATTATGTGATTCACCTAATTAATTAAGTACATATTTAGAAGACAAGTAGGAATTGTTGTTGAAATTGTTAATACAAGGAAATTCGTTCTAGTAAAAGGGTACCATAAGTACATATTTGGAAGCCAAGTAGGAATTGTTGTTGAAATTGTTAATACAAGGAAATTAGTTCTAGTAAAGTGTACCATATTACCACAGTCGTGTTTAGTGGAGTAAAGTTTAAGGCTAATATAATTTCTATACAACTTGGTGGGTTTGATGTTATTTTGGGAATGGATTGGGTAAGGGCTTATAAATCAAGAGTTATGCGTGAGAAAAAGATGGTGCGAGTAAATTTCCCAAAGGCGAACTTCTCATCATATCATATACAAGATAAAGGAAGATTTGTGTCGCGTATATATTACCAATGTCCTTAAGGCAAGAAAGTGTATCGTTAAGGTATGTTATTCTTATTCAGCATACATTATGGATTCCTCAAAAAAAAAAGTTATTGGTGATATCATTATGGTGACTTGATTTCCCGAAGTTTTCCCCGAACAAATTACCAGTCTTTTATGCAGAATGTTAAGTTGAGTTTAGAATCGATTTAATGTCGGGGACAGCACCAATTGCAAAAACCATGTTACCCTTTGGCACCAATCGAAATGAAAGAATTGATGATACAACTACTATAATTTTTAGAGAGGGGATTTGTGTGACTGAGTACTTCGTCCTTGGGAGCTCCAATCTTTAATCTTATTTGTAAAAAAGAAGGATAATACCATAAGAACGTGTATAAATTACTAGGAACCTAACGAGATGATTGTAAGAATTGACATCCACTTTAACCAACATCAAAGAGGATATTTCTTCTCAAAGATGGACTTGAGATTCAAGTACTATCAATTGAAGGTGAAAAATGAAGACGTGGAGAAAACGACATTTAGAAGAAGAAATGATTATTTTGAATTTCACGTTATGTCATTCCCAATGGCTAAGAATATACAGTGGACTTTTTTTTTAAAGCATTTGATAACGTTTGAAATAATCATTTCGAAATATCTAATATCACAATTTATCCAATCAAATGTTATATTTTAACCCACTACATCATTTATATTTCTTATATGCTATGTTTTTTTTTTAATTATTTTTATATATTAGTAAAAACAAAACATTTCTATGACATTCCAAAACTGTTGATCATATTTTAGACTTGTTTTTGAAATTATTAAAGTGTTTTTTTCTCTATCCAAAATCCAAAACAAATCCAAAATTCAGTCCGAAATATGATTTTTTGGTCAGAAAAAATATTTTTAATGTGGTATAAAATTAGTCCGAAATGTCTTGGAATGATTTATTCCAAACAAAGAAGTAATTTCCCAAAGCATAAAAAATTGGCAATCCTTTGCATTATACTACACAGTTATATTAATAGGATAAATTGGTCTTTAACTTGAAAAGGAAAAAAGTAAGAATGAGTCATTTAGCATAAATGCATCGGTTCAATGAACGTATCAACATCAAATGTCATGCCAAAGTTCTTGCACTGTTTATTCTCACGTAGGCTGCTAATTCCAATAGCAACGTGTTTTACTCGTACAATCATGTTTGGTAGCGTATAATTTTATATAGAATAAAACCAAATTTTAAGTTCTTCATTTAGTTATAACTTGATCAACTTATAATATAATACAACAATTAAATTATATAAAATAACATCGCAACATGTTACAATTTTTCAACTTGACTAAATTAATAGTAAAAGCGACTTAGTATATTATATATATAGTCTACATATAGAAAAAAAGAAATCATTAACAAGTGTTGAGATACTAGTATCCTGACATCATCTATCCAATTATTATTCTCCTGTCATGCTATATATAGTATACACCCAATGATCCATAATCAATATCCATCACCCACACACCAAAAAACAACTATGGAGATGAGTAAAAGCGATTGTGGTGCAAAAAGTGGCGATAAAGGCATCAATATCATCAAGGTGAAGCATATCTCGAGCCCAGTTATGTTGGAAGCAAAAGACGCTTTTCAATTCAAGCAAATTGTTCAACATTTCACTGCCCAAACATCAAACCCAACATCTACAAGATCCTCGAACCCACAAAACGATTTATATAATCGCTCTTGGAAAGAGATAGCAGATAGCCATATATAGTCGTGTTAATTACCATATTCTCTTCAATTCTACACATCGCTTCTTTTCTCATTATTGTATGCATGAAATTAAAGACATACTTGTATGTTGAATTGAATGTCAGGTTCTTTAGTCGTTTGTTTTTTTTTAATCTCCAGTAGTTTTATAATATAATAATATGATCACGTTTAGAGTTTTTGAAACATGTAACTAAAGCAGTAGGCGAATCAAGAAACATGAATAACACAACAAGACCTACAAATTTACAACAAAACACACAGCTACAATCCATGGTGTCCAGAAACATATATAAAACCACTAAAAGTTTCAAGTTTCAGGGTGTTGTTAATTACCCTACATGACCAAAATCCATTTATCAACGGCTTAACAACTTATTTTTCCAGATTTCTACTCTTCATACCTACTTCTGAAGCTAAAATCTAGTAGAGACTTAATATAATATGCTATAACATAACACGACTAAACAAACAAACATGATCAGTTACCTTCATGATCAGCAGATTTCAAGTAAAGCGACTCACCACCATCTCCACCACCACCACGTCCTTCAGTGGTGGATCCAGAAAGCCCAATACTATTATGATCTTGCTTACGTGAGAAGTCAGGGAAGCCTCCTATACCAAGATGCGAACCACTGCCACCAGCTGCACTGGTGCTGTCGCTTTGTAACATATGAAGCCCACCACCACCACCACCACCACCGCCACCGGAGTTCATTCCTAGGTGGCTGTGCATGGCGGCCTGCTGCTGTAGTGAGGAGTACTGCTGTTGGTTGTAGAGCATAGAGGAACGTGCTGCCATTAGTGCTTGTGGTGTCATTTGTTGAGCTGCTTGTTGATGCTGCTGCTGCTGCATGTAATGACCTCCTCCCTGTTGCATCATCCCTCCCAGCTGGTACTGCATATATAATTAATAATTGTTATTTTAATTAAAAGTCGCTATTCACGATTATATATATATATATATATATATATATATATATATATATATATATATATATATATATATATATATATATATATATATGAGATGAAGTTCTTCAAATTTGTACCTGAGAATGAACAGCAGGTGACTGAGGTTGAGAATCGGCAATAGCAGCAAGATACATAAGGTTCCTCTGAAGCTTCGCCTGATTTCTGCCATAATCACACAATCATTTCAAACAACTTGATTCAAAGTAAAAGACTTATTACGAAGGTATCATATACATATATATGAAAGAAATTGAAAAACTCACTCGGCGCATTCAGTCATTTTCCCTGAGTTTTGGCTCTCGACAATTTTCAGAATCAGTGATTTGTTCTCATCGAGGTACTGCAGATATATACATGGAACGAAAATTTAGTACCCAACAAAACAAATTAAGAACTTATAGCTTTTACCCAAAGAAAACGTCAAGATCTTGAGGGTATTAATTACATGATCCATTCACATGTGTCCTATTTTTCTATACAGTAATTAACTATTCTTGTAATTGTATGAAGAAGAAGTAGATATTACACATGTTGAAGAATAAAAAATGGCTATATATCACACATCCGTATGGGTGATTATTGTTACATCTGTCTTGAAGAAAACAAAAACATTTAGGCCTACGTAAGATGGGGAATGTACCTATTCCAACTGACGCATTATTTGCTCTCAATCAATAAACATGAAACCTTTTGGCTTTTGCCCTATCCAAGATGGGGCACACTAGCTAGCCAACTGCTTAATGGGGTCATGGAGTCATGTTTAAATTATTTTGCCCCATCTTGAGCAACATTTGATCTTCGATCCACAATAAAAATGGAACCTTTTTTCCTATCTCTAATAAAAATGGAATCTTTTTCACCACCCAAAGTCTGATTCGATCATTTGAAACCCTAAACAGTTTGGGGATCGATCGATACTGTTAAAAAAGGCCAAAATAGCTACATTTAAACACAAAACCCTAAACAATATCGGAGATCTGAGCCAAAAACCTTTTTCACATATTCATTCTTTTGCGTCTTTATCCCAAATGGTTAAAATTTAAAAGGTTTAGCATCTGAAGATGAAAGATTGATTTGAACATGACAACTGGATACAACTAGCCCTAGCTAGGTAGTTTTCTAAAGTCAAATATTAGGTCTAGGCTCTAGCATCACTGTCAGTATTGAATCTACTTTATTTTGTCATACGAACATAGACTGAAAATTAATGAAGATAATACATAAAAGTATATATATTATATGATCGGATTTTTTTCAATGAAATTTATGGAAAAAGCTAGCAACATACCTGGACAGCAAAAGGCCATCATATAAATCAATCGGGTATCGCATCCAATACTATAATCTTAGTAGCATGCACAAGCACAGATATTGATGAAAATAAAGAATGTTTAATGCAGAATCTTAACTCACAGATTACCAAGAGGGTAATATAATTTATTCCAAAAGCCAAAGTATTTTAAAGAATAAATTCTAAACAAGTTAACAAGAAATAACATGGGATTCGTGTTATTCTTTTCTTTCTTTTTTCAAAGAAATCATGTTCTCTCTCTCTTTTTTTTTTTTTTTTCATTTCCCTAACTAACATTAGAAAGATTCAATTTTTAATGTGTCAAAGAAAACATCAAGAACAAAATCACCAATCAGAAAGAAAAAAAAAAGAAGAAAAAAAAAGAGTAAAGAGTAAAGAACACAAATATATATTTAGTCAGACATGTGATATAAGTTATATATATGGAGGGAACCTGTTGCAGATGAAGAAACAAAGAAGAAAAGGCAAGTAAAAGCTAAAAAGAAAAGCGAAGACAAAAAAGATCAGAAAAGGGAAGTTTAAACAGAAAACCCCAACAACAAGACACACAAAGAACTTGGCTCATTCACTGTGTGTTGTGTGTGAGAGAGAAAGTGAGAAAGGGATGAAAACTCATGAAGTTAAAGAAGAACCTGTTGAATATGATCAGTAGTAACGCTGTTAGTGGGATAATAGGCTGCCATCATGGGCTGCATCTGCATCAGGTGCTGCTGCATTATATATATATTTCTATCTTTTTATGCTACTTCTGCTACTACTACTACTGTGTAACCCCTCTCTCTCTCTATATCTATCACTTTCTCTCTCTATATATGATGTGTATGTATGTATGTATATATGTGCGTGTTTCTATCTCACTCTAGAATGGATGGATGGAGAGAAAGAAAGGAACACTGCAAAGTGCAAAGGGGGGAAATGAATAGGGCTCCACACAAAACCCTTTTCTTTTTTCTTTTTCTTTCTGTGTGTTGTTGTGGTTAAAATCAGTTTGTTTGACAAGATTAAATGAGCTTCTTTTAAAACCCCAAGACCACAGAGATATTAAAGGCTGATAAATGGAGGGATGGATGGATAGCAGAAGATTGATCAAAGAAAACAAAAAAGCAGCAGGCTTTTCTCAGTGTACTACTCTCTCTTTGGCTATATGGCTGGACTTTGTGCCTTGGTGCTGGTGATGGGATGAGAGAGAGACATAGAGGTCACAACTTCACACTAGGGTTTTTTTAGGGGTTTTAGAACTTCAAATTAGAAATATTTTTTACTCTCTCTCTCTCTCTCTCTCTCTCTCTCTCTCTCTCTCTCTCTCTCTCTCTCTCGATTTTCAAGTGGGTATTTGTCCAATGTGTTTTTTTTGCAATTTATTATCTTAGTACTATTATTGAGGAATAAGGTAAATTTACTCTACCTCCTGTTTTAACTTCAATAATTTAGGCCAGTCATATTAACTTTTGTACGTTAGGCTATCTTTGAATTTTTATAAAAATCCGAGAAATTAATGCGGATCTAAAAACCATGTTTTCTGAATACAAATTATTGGATATTGGATATCACATGTACTCAAGAAGCCAAAATGGAAAGGAGCGCAACATGAGCAAAAAAAGTTTACGGTATTCATACTTTGAGAAGAAGATAAATGGTGTCGGTGTTTTAGTGTCAGCGACTCTTAAAAACATAATACAAGTAGATGTCATGATCGTATCATACTGACCAAAGAAAATAGTAGATGAGGAAGTTGTTAAATGTGAACTTGTGTGTTTACACGAGTACTAAAACAAGGAAACGAAACAAAAACTTTACAATAAAATTATTGAAATAAATTTACTTTAGTTAAGAGTTAAAATACATATCAAAATTTTAAACAAGAAAATGAATAATGAGATTACTTTTTTCATGTTAATTTACAGCATATAAAAAAAGTAAACTAACAACTAAAAATAAGATTTTGATGAACAAATATAACCTAAAATAACATATAAACAACTAGCATAAATTCTTAAAAGATTTATGATTATAAATGAGAAATTCTGACAAAATTAGCAAAATTACCTAATTACTTTGCATTTAATAGCCAAGTATTTGGAATTAACTAAAAATAATCAACAAAACCATAGACCATCAAAGATGCCTATTGTTTCGGGAAAAATCTACGGTTTCAAGTTTCCATATAAAAAAAATCATTATTTTCAACAAATGTGTAGGAGATTTAGTCACCTACGGTACGCTCTCAAAATAAATATGTGATGTTCGTATGAACATGAAGAACAAAACCATAGGTGAGGACACGAAACCTACAATTCCCCCACCCCCACCCCAACCTACGGTTTGGGTAAAAAAATTTGGGTGTTCGCTACTTTTTGGTTGAAATTGACTACCGTTTCATATTGGTTTTGAACTACGATATTGTACATATTTTTACTGGTATATCTAAAAAGAATGTATTTTTTTTGGAGAATAAAAATAAATGTTTCGTTTTCTCTCAAAAAAATTATACTATGAGTTTCATTGAATATTTTGTTTTTTTCTTATTAGTGACGGGAGATAACAGTTTGTTGGTTCTCAACTATCATATATATATATATGGCCACCAAGTTACATGCCAATAATGTTTTATTATGGTTTGAAAATTGTTTATTTGGTGAAAAGTAAGATTGATATTCTTGATGAATCAAAAGTTGGTCTTTCTTACTAACATCATGAGGAGTTGTATCATTGTGTTATTGTTAATTATCGTGATATTAGAAAGTTGACCAATGTAATCAATTTGGTTGGATGTAAAATTGTGTCTATCTATGTGGTGGTTGAAGAAGGTGATGGTGCTAACGAAGTTGCTAATAGAAGAAAAACATATGTAGCAAACATATCCAGCAGAAAAGGGAGCAACATCCAAATTGGTACTTTTGTAACTCAAAGTATACCTTAATATCATGTTGTTGTTGAAAACGTAAATGTAGTTCAACAAACGATGATGTATGTGGAACCGTAGATTTATAAGTATGTTGGTGATGATGGTGTTGGTATGTAAGAACCTGGAATTTGAAGAAAGCTGACTTTTAGTCAACTATTGACCAAAAGGGAAAAATGGTCAATTATGAGAAGGTGATGAAATTATGAAGTTGTGAATTCATGAAAATGACCAATAAGAGTTTAAGTCATTAAAAAGATGTTAGATGAGTAAGTTCAATAGAAATAATACATGAGAAGATGTATTTTGGCCAAAGGGTGAAATTGGTACTTTTATAATTTTTGGGCCAAGTTTATGACTTAATAGATTAAGAGCCATATTAAGTAAGTGATAAACAACTTAATAGAATTGTATAGTATGCTCCCACATTCGTGTGGAACATAAAAAATGGGTAAGAAATGAAGAATATATGAAGGTTAGAAGTTGGGATAAAAATGTCCCAAAGCTACAATGGAATCAGCAGAAAAGGTTGTTGCTAAGCCGAAACCACAACGCAATGAGTGTTCATCGTAAGTAAGAATGTTAATGTACTTTTCCCCCACGACATGATGTGTGAGCACTGCGATGCGGTGGCCAAAGTAGGTTGCTATTGGAGATAGAGTACCACTTCGTGGCAAGTAGAGTGTCATAACATGGCAAGCACTTAAATATCCATTAAAGGATGTCAAATGGTCAGTGTGATGGGGTGATTAAGCAACAACGATGCGGTTACACATCAGAACATAAGGTAATTAAGCCTTCATTCTCATCATTTTGCACCCCGAAACCATCCATAGCCAAGCTTTGACGATTTTGAGATTAGCAAATGTAACAACCCGTTATTTTTCAAGTCAATAAAAGTCATACCCTTTAGATAAAATTCGAGTTTTGTTGATTTGGTTAAGAACATAAGGATATGATTTAAATTATATAAATGATGTTTTATATAAGTATTTGGAATAAAATACACTTAAAAATCAACATTTTTTTTCCTTTGGAACCGAGAACCCTCGGACCGCAAACCCCACCAAGAACCACTAGACCGAAATCCCCTTTCCAGCCGAAAATCCAACCGATGTAAATGCTTTCACTCTAAAAATAAGCCATTTCCTCACTTTTTCAATCGGAAACACTCCCATTTTACTTCCAAGTATCATACAAGAACCTTCATATCTCCAAGAAAAAATCCTTCAAATCTTCATAATATTCACCAAGAACACCAAAACCAATCTTCAAATCTTCAAGCTGACCAAAAACACCTTGGACCGAGAACTCATGCCTAACCGATAACACCCTAGAACCGAGAACTTGGTTCTCGGTTGAGGATTTTAAGACCGAAATCAAAGATTTTGGTGAAGGCTAGACTGAAAACCCTTATCAACACATAATACATTTCTCGGTAATTTTTGTAAGAAATTCCTTATGTAAATTAAGTGTTGTCGAACACTTTAACTAATTATCTCGCTAATTTAAGTACAATTATGTATTTAAATATTATTAGGAAACCGTTATTTCCACGTATATTAGCCTGAGGATCATCTCTACAGTTCTGATATCCAGACTCGAACACGCACTAGATGTGAGTTCATACCCCTACATTTTCACTATTGTCAATGTTTTTAGGGGGGCGGGGGGATACAAATTAAACACAATGACTCTTGTGTTAACATTCATACGATTTCAAACCATTTCAAATCATTTGCAATTGTTCCAACCCGATTTATCGTTGTATTTATCAAAATATATTTTTATATATTTTTAGCCCTTTTGTAGCATGTCGAGCAAAATGGTATTTTTCATAAATCTCTTACTACCACTTTATACACACTATTAAATTGAAAATGTTTTAGTTCATTACAGGGTATACATTTAAACTATTGTTGGTATAGTGTATGAATTGCTACACTATTTTGCTAAGTTCAATAAACAATACAAGAACATACATTTAAACTATAATATGTATAGTTTGGGAGACACTACACTATTTTACAAGCTCAAGAACACTATACAGAAACAAGTATATAAACTATAACAAGTATTGTTTATGGAACATTACTCTATTCCACTAATTCAATGATACACTACTAAATAATTATTTAAGTATAATTATTTTACATTACAAAGTACACTACTACAAGGTAATACATACAGTTTCAAGTACAAGAGAACACTACTACACTACACGTAAACTAGTTAATACAAGGTTGAGAGGCACTACTTCGGGGTACTTATCAGGGTACCGGTTCAAGTCCTATAAATTATAACCAGAGTCTCCTGGAGGGACAGCGTGAATTTGTGTATAGATCTATATGGGACTGACAATCCCGCACCTAAGTTGTTTGCAACAGCTATGTCAGTAGGCCTGGGTGACAAATGTCATAACATTCCGACGCTTAAAGAACATCGTAGAGGCCACTAAGTCATATCAAACATGGTTATATGAAACTCACAATAGTATTAACTAAACCATATGTTTACGGGATTTACAATACTTCAAAGGTTTTATTTTAAGTAATGAAACCACAGTACACTATTTTTCACTGCAACTGATGGATTCCAAGCACTCATACAATAAGTTTTCATACAAACATTACTGCAGTACACTACTTTTCTAGTAAAAAGTACACTTGTACAACATATAATTTCAAGAAACATTCATGACATAGTTTTATTTATTAATAAGACTACAATTTACTATTACAAACTACAATTTACTAATACAGACTGTAATTTTACTATTACAAAGTATAGCTCACTATCTCAGAGTACAGTCCACTATTTCAGAATATAGTAACTACATATATTTTGGTCTTAAGGCCTAAGACTACATTACATTCACTAAAGAAAATATTAGATTTTCTAGGAGTACACTATAACATTTTCAAAGAACAAAGACAAACTTTCCATCTCAAATACATACTTATGAACTCACCAACTTAAATGTTGATACACTTTCAAAAGCACTTGTATTCTCAGGGAACCGGTACATAGGTACATCCGCAGGTTTTGAGAAGACAGGGCTTTTAGAGTCGCGTCTTTTATAATTTTGTTATACACTTTTGATGTCATACAAACTATGTATTGAACAGATGTAAATACTATATTTTATTAATGTAACGCTTGTGTTTTCTTTGATTACTATTATACAATTGTTGTGATATTCTACATGACGTCTTCCACCCCCGAATGTTTCCACCATTCTGGTTTGGGGGTGTGATAGCAAAGGATAAAGAAGCGATCAATGGTGCATATGGCTTGTATTAGAGAAGAAAAGCTCATGAGATAAT